CTACTGGACAAATATTATTCCAGCGATTCTATTATCTTAAAAGCTTCCTTAAATTCAGATATGAGGTAAGCTTTTCAGGATTTTTGTACTGTTTCCTGTATTGAAACTATTTTTTCTATTTAAAGCACACTGTGATGGCGTGCCTGCTTCTTGCCTCAAAAATTGAGGAAGAACCACGCCGAACCAGAGATGTGTACAACACTTTCTACCGTTTAGAACAGCTTCATAAGCTGAGGGAATCAGGACGAGTCATCAACGAGTGAGTAATATATTATTCTCATTTTGCTATTTCCTGACCGCTTTGGTTGGATATTCTCTGAGAAGTTCATAGGTTTCTTCTAGGCGATTTGCAAATTGGATTGGCTAGTAGTGTATATAAGTTCATCTTCATCATTACGATAGCAGAAATAGCTGAAACTTTATTTTCCCACTTTAAAGTGCATGCGCTAGTTAGATAAACTGAAGTACAGAAGCATTTCTGTATGAGGTGTAAAATTTAAATTTATTTTTAGCCTTTATGAAACTGTACCGTTCCCGGGTCTTACCCTCCCAGAAATCCAAGGGATACCATATGACAACGAAGCTTCGTCGGATAACGTACTACTGCGTTTCGGATCGTATAGCTTACCTCGTATTTTCCGAGGTAAAGCCGGCCAAGCGATGATCAGTTATCGAAATTAGTTCACTCCACCCATGAGTTTGTGAACTTCTTGACTATTCGTGAGTTTGCATACATCCTCAACTGTGAGTGTGCCCTCACTGGCCGTCACTTACCAGGGAAGTCCGCCAACTTACCATGGAACTTTGAATGGAGACCTGGGTAGATCGATAGAGTCTATAAGGTTATTTACAAATATAGATAGCAAAACTGCAACCTGCATTTCACAAGCAACTTATGAGCAGGTAAAGTTTGTAATGGTGCAGTAGGGTGGAGGCTTGGTGGTGAGCTGTGAAGCATAAGCGAGGAATCGCATACGTCGAATCGAGTCGTCGAACGTCGAACCTTACCACTGAACCACCACGACTCGATTCGATTCTTCGCTTCACAGCTCACCACCAAGCCTCCACCCTACTGCACCATTACAAACTTTACCTGCTCATAAGTTGCTTGTGAAATGCAGGTTGCAGTTTTGCTATCTATATTTGTAAATAACCTTATACTCTATCGATCTACCCAGGTCTCCATTCAAAGTTCCGTGGTAAATTGGCGGACTTCCCTGGTTAATTCTCGATGCCTAACCAAAGTTGATATGTTAGTGTGTCTTCGGCGGAAGGGAATGGTAGAGAATGAATAGCGCGAGAGAAGATAGGATTTGAGAGAGAACTTGATTCGTTGAGTGAAAGCCTGGCAATCTTATGAACATTTTCAGCAAGACACGTGAAAGTGAAACGGAAAGGTTGTGCTTTCCGATGCACTGTTAAGGATTTTCGAATCAAATGAAATAGCTTGAGCTTGGTTATCGATGTGAATTGAACGTATAACATTCTATCGAGTGGCTGACTAGCGAGAGTCTTTACGCAAAGCCAACCACTGGGAGCATATTTCAAATCGAATGAACGAATCCCAATGGAGCCTTCACCGTGCCAGTTCGAGTGGAACTCGAGTGATTTGTTTATATGGATCTCAGGTCCACATTTTTTGGCTAGCATCCAACAATAAATCACATCACGCGAAAGGCTGAAACAGCAGTTGTAAATTTTGACGCTGCCTCCACAAATTGAACCTTGAATACGTCGTTTATCACACAGACATTGTTAAATGGCCTCTTCAAGCGTGCTGTATAGTGAGCAAGGGTCCTGACGGCGCCCCTGTTTCTTTCAAAACTATGCGTTGTCTGGAAAGTCTTGAGAAAATTTCACTCTTTAAGTTCAGCCAAGTGTAGGAGACGAATGCGCCAACAGAAAAACTAGTATAGAATGCCGTGAGAAAGAGAAATTTTCGTAGAGCAGTTATGACGCGTGCTGGTGTTGTTCTAAATTGTTGGTGCCTTTAGCATTAAAGACAGCTCCCGCGATAAAAGTGTCATGGATAGTTGCTTTTCGATTATGAAGCTGTAGCTGATAACCACCAAGAAGAAAAACAACAAGGAGCGTCCTTAAGAACACCATAAACAAAATCGCTCCCTGACAGTCACACCTCCCTGCGGTCTCTGTGCAAGCCCTGGCTCACAAATCCCTTTATCACATCTCCCAGTAGTGGATATCAATGCAAAGAAAAGAATACGAAAAACAACAAAAACACCTCTTGGAAAAAAACTTTCAAAAACTCGGCGTCCGAATTTAGGGTTACGGTAGCGTGCATTTTTAGTGTAGTGAGTGCGTCGAGCTTTTGCACCACGAAAATTGGGTCGCTCGTGATTTTTACGCGTTTTACCTTGCGAGATGGGTTGAGTTGACTGTATGTGCTCCTAATGAATAAAATGTAATAAAGGAGAGCAGAACCATTCATGGGCACGAGCGCGGTCAGCAAAAAG